TAATGGTCAGACAGGGTTGAACCCACTCGGACTTGAAATTGCCTGTTTGTTAAAAAGTGTGAGATAAAACGAGGTAAACGACCTCTCAAACCGAAATCATGTAAATCCTTCAAAATGCCGTACTTCCAAGTAGTATCATAAGCTTTCTCAGATCAAAGAAAATTGATACTACGTGTTGCTTATTAACAATGGCATTCTTAACACAGGATTCTAATCGTACTAAATGGTCAATAGTACTTCGGTTTTTCCTGAAACCACATTGAATATCTGAAATTAGATTGTTGGTTTCCAAATACCAAACTAATCTATTGTTCACAATGCGTTCCATGGTTTTACAAACGCAACTGGTTAACGATATAGGGCGATAATTTGAGGGGTCTGTGTGATCCCGACCAGGCTTTGGTATGGGGATTACAATGGCATTGTGCCAGGAAGGAGGAAAATTCCCTGAAGTCCAAATATGGTCAAATATTTCTAAAAGTGTCAAAAGACATGATTGAGGCAGATGCTTTAGTAACTGGTAATGAATGTTGTCATCACCAGCAGCAGTATCATGAGCTTGCTCGAGAGCGGTGTGTAGTTCATGTAATGAAAATACTTCATTATAATCTTCACCGTTATTAGAATCAAAATTAATTTTTTGTTTTTCTTGGCGATTTTTATATTTCTGAAAGTCAGGGATATAATTTGATGATGAAGAATTTCTGGAAAGAGTTTCACCAATTTTATTAGCAATATCACACTTACCAGTTATCAATTTATCACCGTCTTTAAGATGTTTAACAGAAGACTTGGAACCTTTGCCTTTTATTCTCTGGACCATATTCCATACATTGGACATGGGTGTGCGCGAATTAATGTTGGAGACATATTTCCTCCAAGACTGGCGCTTGTTTTGTTTATAAGCACGTCGCGCCTTGGCATTTGTAATTTTAACATTATTGAAGTTATGAACTGTAGGATGTCTGCGGAAATACTTTTCTGCTTTCTTCCTACACTTCCTTGCTTGTTTACAGTCATTGTTAAACCATGGCTTACGAATATGAGGAGTTGCAGAGGACTTAGGAATTGACTGGTCAGCAATTTCATTCAACAGAGCTGAAAACAACTCTATAGGATCTGATACATTATTAAAATTATCCGGTATTAATTTATCCATACACAATGTTTCATACAAAGACCAATTTGCCTTCGTAAAATTCCATCGTGATAAAGATGGTTCGTCAACCGGTTTTATAGTTTGTAGGACAGTTGGGAAGTGATCACTTCCACAAAGGTCATCATGAACGGACCATTCAAATTCGTTGTAAATATTTGAATCAGCGAGTGACAAATCAAGAGTGGAATAAGTTCCTGTAGCAGGATGTAAATAGGTGCTTGAATCATCATTACAAATACACAAACTATTATCAGAAACAAAATCTTCAATAACTTTGCCTTTATTATTTATATTTGTACCTCCCCATAGAGGGTTATGCCCGTTTAAATCACCCATGATGACACAAGGTTTGGGCAGCTGATCATATAAAGCTTGTAGATCTGTCTGCTGTAAAGTCGAGGAGGGTGGGATATACAAAGAGCAGAGTGTTAAGGCAATGTGAAATGTTAGCCGAACTGCAACAGCCTGAAGGTTGGTAGTAAGCGGAACAACACTATGTAGGACATCCTGTCTTACCAAGATGGAGGAACCGCCAGTGACTTTTGCACCTGGAGGAGAAAAGTGATTATACAAATTGTATTTTCTGATATCACATTTGTCTGTGTCTCGAAGATATGTTTCTTGTAGACACATCGCTGATGGTGTAAAATCCTGTATTAAAATCTGTAAATCGTTAAAGTTATTCCTAAATCCTCTACAATTCCATTGGATTATGTTGGACGATTGATTCATGGTGGCTCAATCGGTGAACGGTCTCGTCGTGAGGGCGGATTCCTACCGCTCTGTGACGGAGGGTTATGTCCATATCAAGAGCTTCAAAGGAGTTATGGACGACTATCTCTGAAGATGAAGGTTTTTTGTTTGCCTGTTTTCTATTTTTTTTCTTTTCATTTCTGGTCAAAGGTTGTACAACTGGTTCAGCTGTGACTGATATACTCGGGGCATCAGGTACATCGTCATCAATTTGAGAATGATTCACAGTTTGAGTTGACGACGTGTCGGAATCACTGACATAAGTTAACCTGATAGGCTGATTTGAGTTGATCCATGACAGATCAGTCTGAACAGAAACAGATGTGCAAGGAGAAGCGGTATGGGCTACAACTGCAGAATATGATCTATTTAGAGGCAGTATTTGAATCTGATTTTCTACAAGTTTCTTTGCTTCCTGAAACGAAATGTTTTTCTCGTGTTTTAACTTTAGTATTTTTGACTGGTTTTGCCACACAGGACATAAACTTGAGGAAGCTACATGTTGACCTTTACAGTTTGCACATTGTATTTCAGCTGAGCATTCAGTGTTCTCGTGTCCGTCTCCACAGCGGTGACACACAGCAGATCTATTGCAAAATTTGGAGCCATGTCCAAATCTCTGACATAAAACATCGGGTGGATTGGGGACATACACCTCCACTCCGATGTTCACATAACCAGCTTTTATTGATTTCGGCAGGACCGACAATGAAAATGTGAATAGATACGTACTAGACGGAACTATGTCACCGTCTCGTGTTTTCATAGTAAAACGTTTGACTGTGGTCACACCTTGGTTTTCAGTTCAGTCGCGATTTCCTCCTCAGACATATCGGACAGGCAACGTGCTCTGTCGCGAACAATGCCACGGCAAGAATTCAAGGTTTTGTGCATAGACACAGCAACCTCAATGTTCGCAAATGTTTTAAGTGATAACAAGTTCTCAGATTGTTGTCTCCTTGAACACTCAATAAGCAGTGATCCACTTCGAAGACGTGTCACGTTCTTCACTTCGCCACAAATTCCTGAAACAGCTTTTGAAATCGCGAATGGATTAAGTTTAATTGGTTGTTTATCTGCTGCCTCGATAACAACAAATCGAGCCCATGAATCAAGTACAGGACAGACATTTACATTGTGACCAGTTTCATCAGTTTCTACATGTCTACGTTTGGATCTATTTGAACCAGGGTTTTGTTGAGCCATAGTGAAAGTAATGTGATTCAGCATCCCTGCTCCCAACCCACCATGGAGTGCCAAAAAGAGCGGTGTTTAATAGCATCGGATCTCCAACATGCAAACACCGGGGATACAGGGATGGTATACTTCAGCAAATATGACGCGAAAAGCTGCGTTAGTTTACCAAAGTAAATGTTTGGTTGCTTCGCCCAAAACAAGAAATTGGAAACATGCAGATTTCGGAGGACAACATTACCAAATTGGCCCATGAGCCACCGCCTTCTGGCATGAGACTCTAGGCAGATTTCATTTTGACAACGTAAATACGTTGGCCAAGACCAATCAAAACATATTATAGAATCAAATAATGATATGCATACAATTCATGCACAGGGCTTGGCATGACCAGCCGATTGGTAGAACCGGGCCCATTCTACCACCCGTCTAGGTGAAGTAAGGGTCGAAGTGGTGTGTTTGGCAACAGGAACACGGTTCCAGGATCCTATTGCCCTCAACCACCAGAATCCCGTCCTCCACCGACACAGGGGCGCAACCCACGGCAAACGGGTTGGTGGACCTAATATCCCCCCGGGTCCACAACGGGGGGTTGAAAGGCGCTTAGCGTGACCCAGCACCCACCACGAGGAGGTGGCCTTTCATGGGTGCCGTATCCAGATAGCATTCTGACGTTGAGCCAACGTTATCACTTACGTTGGACCAAGAGCTATGTAAAACCCTGCATCTTGAGTGTTTTTATAATCATTGCTTCATGGGAATGTATACAAAACATCATTCATGACATAAGTAATGTTGATAATACTTTTGTTCGAAGAAATGGGTATGATGAAGGGATACAATGGTGCATTGTACTTTGCATAATACTTGAAAAACTTAGTCTATAAAAAATACTGAATGCCATCTGTATTGATTCAAAAGGTCTTACAAGATTAGCATCACCCTTTCTGAAATTGACAATATTTAAAGACATTTTATTAGGTTTAATTTAATTAAAAAATTATTATGGGGCGTGGTGGGTGAGCTGGCTAAGGCGCCAGGCTAGTGGTCCAGCGAGCATGAGGTGCCGAGATCGAGCCCACCTGTGACCGGGTGTAAAAACCTTGGAGTTAACTTTGTGTGCAGATTCTGTCAGTGTTGTCACAACCCCTGTGTACAGTACACAGACCTGTGCACTTAAAAGACCCCACGAATCCGTTGGTATATGGCCAGATGGTGGCTACATGAATACGTGCAAACACCTAGTTTCGGGTACAGCAACGTGCAGTAAACGCAATAACCTGATGCGCCTTGTGCAAGCAAGAGTTGTATACTCCCCAGGGAGTTGATCTTGATAATAAGATGTGTCGTTGACAATGACATTCAATGATCGGGGGGAAAATACAAGCGACTTAAGCATGCACTAGTGCGTGGATGTGTGCGCTATAAAAAAAATATCCAAAAATACGTGGTGACAATTTCTAAAAAGTTCAGGACGGCATACCCCTGCACCCCTTTTGTCTAGGAAGGAAAGAAGGGTGGGCAAGGTTGACAGCTCTCTTCAGCTCTCTTTATTCTTCCACCACTTCTGTCTGCACTGTATTTCAGCTATGATTTTATAGTTCGCTCAGCATCAACTTCTGATATCCACGTCCCCATGGGCCTTAGTATGGTGATCTCCCTTCAGTTGTTGGCGATCTATAGCCCATTTTTACATTGTATTGTCTTCTCTAATTGGAATATTTTAGCTTTGTTCGCTAGTTTTATATTCATATCTGTGATGATCTAGTATTTTTACTGTCCTTCGTCGGCAGGTTTTTATAATATCTATATATATTCTATTTCAATGTCAGATGTTCTCGTCACGATATGGCTGAAATATTGCCGATGTGACGGTAACTAATAACTCACTCACTCTGATATCCACGTTTTTTGCAAGCCGCTGACAAAAGAAATGAATACAAGTTTAAACCAATAGTAACATTAGTTCAAGGACTTTCCAAATCAATCAGCAAACAGCAATACCATACAGATAGATGTGGAAAAATATATGACTAATTCATGTCAGAAATTTTGTTAGCGTTATCAAGCATTTGTTTTATGATACCTTTTATTGCTCGACACAGGGCTAATGCACAGAATGCATGTTTCCCACCTCTTCCCTTCCAATTAAAGGAACATGCCAGGTGGTATTTGAATACAGTGACCATCATTCTTTGCACCGTATCCTCACTGCTAATGCCACCAATGGTGCAAAGATGGTTCAGCTGAAACAAGCATAGTTTGAGTATGTAACAGGTATTGCAATACCTACCTTCAACAAATCAAAATGTACGTTGAATGTGTGAATCAAATGAAATCTTTTACTTTAAAGATCTTACTGACAATGAACATATTAAAAGTAACCCCCAAAAATATCATGGTTACAAAACTTCGAGTAACAAATCAACTCATATGACAATCACGTCATTTGATATTGATTGGTTCATAAAGGTAAATATTTATAACCAGCAAATACCATTACCTGCAACACAAAAAGACGGTCCTCGAAGCATCGCACTCTCGAATAAATGGATACCGATGATTACTGAGAACATGATGACTTCAACATTAAATTTATCGACAGTGTAAATGCAGATCATTTAGTTTAGCTACAATGGCCAATATTACCCATCCCTTTCGCTTCAAGACTCAGAACAGTATTTACAATCATGTATGATTAGTCATGTTTGACTACTGATCCCTGTCGCCCCTATTGACTAGCACAGATTGCTCTGGGATTGGAATATTATTAATATTAGAAAAGTTCTTTACAGTGTACTTCTCTCAAAACAAGTTAAGGACCATGCAAGACAGGTATTGTTAACCTGTTATACCATGACATATTAACTACAGTAATGGTAAATATGGTAGTAAGTTGATTTCGCAATATTCCCCAAATGTCAATCAAAATGGGCTGCACACATTTGCCCATGTGGGTAATTCAGACCTGTGCGTTTTGGTGTGACCCACTGTACTATCAAAATATGAAATAATCAGACAGTCCTCGATTCGTTTCAGAAGCAGATATTTTAAAGTGCTGAATTGTTTGAAACTGCATGCATTCATACCAATACTTTTTCTGTGTCTTTGTGCACTCCTGCACCCCCCACCCCCTCTGGATCTGCCTATGACTATGCGACTGTTCCTGATACGAAATACACACTCCAGTACACTCCAATACAATTTAGCCAGAGATCTTATATTCTGCGATTTTACCTTCATATTCTTTGGGGCATTGCGTTGTGCATGTGTAGATTCTGCAGTGTGCACTGTGTTTCAAAAAGTAAGCCCATAGTCATTTTCGAAATATAGATTGATAAGATGATCCCTGTCGGACAGATCAATGTACTTACTTGACGGTCGTGGCTGTTGTAACGTACTGTTGTTAGGGATCTGATTTGTATGTGGCCTACCTTGTACGGTGTCACGATGGGGAGACATGACACTTTCACTGTCCTTGCATGTATTCCTTGCACATCTTTTATTGACGGGGCGGTGGGGTAGCCTAGTGGTTAAAGCGTTCGCTCGTCACGCCGAAGGCCCGGGTCCGATTCCCCACATGGGTACAATTTGTGAAGCCCATTTCTGGTGTCCCCCGCCGTGATATTGCTGGAATATTGCTAAAAACGGCGTAAAAACATACTCAGTCAGTCAGTCTGTTATTGACACCGTCGCTTCTTGGAGTCCGTGATGAATAATTATCGTTATCCATGGATACAGATATGCCTTCTGTCTGTGACGGCTGTGAGAAGTTTGTACTGGTCACCTGTAACTGTTGTTTCAGTGTCTGGTGACAAAGTATTATGCGTAGTATTTGCGTGGACATGTCCAGGTGTCGGACACGTTGTCGTGGGTTCCACAGCCTCGGCATAAGAGGACGTCACTGTGTTAACACTTTCATATTGCTAGCGTCACACATTCGCTCATAAGGCTCGCTTTACACCTTTAGCCGAGCACAGCTTCAGATGGACACACCTTCACATGAGTACATAAGTCCCGAAACATTCAAAGGAAATTTAAATTTACGACCTGTTTTAAATGTAGTATTTTTGTCATTTTAATTTTGGCTAAATTTGACTTCAATCGCCAGCGGCTGAAAGGATGATATAAATCCAACTAGGGTCCATGCAGGTAGCAAAAGTACTGTAAGTCCCCATGGTCCCTAGTTTGGTGATCTACCTTTAGTTGTTGGCAATCTATATCCAGTTTTTATATTGTATTGTCCAAATAGTGCTATTAGTTTTAATTTTCCACACTAGTTATAGTTGTAATTGTGATATTCTAGTTGTTTTACTGTCCTTCGTCAACAGGTTTTTATAGTATACATCTATTCCATTTCGGTGTCACATGTGTTCTCGTCACGATATGGCTGAAATATTGCCGATGTGACGTTAAATTATAACTCACTCACTCACTCACCTAGGATTTCGGTATACACTCGTCAGCTATTTCATTTAAAACGTCAGCAAAAATCTGAATGGGATCAGTTATATCACTGAAACATTCAGGTCGCCAATTTAGATTTACATAAAGTTTGATATAAAGACCAGTTCGCCTTCGAAAAGTTCCATCTTGTATACGATGGAGAATCAGATGGAGTTATTTCTGAAAGTATAGTTGGGAAGTGGTCACTTCCACAAAGGTCATTATGAACAGACCAATCAAATTCATTCAGAAGGGTAGAATCTGCAAGAGACAAATCTAGAGAAGAATAAGTGCCAGTTGCAGGATGCAGATAGGTGCTTGAATCATCATTAAATATGCACAGGTCATTATTGGAAATGAAATCTTCAATTATTTTGCCTTTAGTATTAGTGTTAGTACTGCCCCAGAGTGGGTTGTGACCGTTTAGGTCACCCATAATAACACATGGCTTTTGGAGTTGATCATAGAGTGATTGAAGATCAGTCAGCTGAAGGTTCGATGAAGGCGGAATATACAGAGAGCTTAACGTAAATGCTACACCCAGAGTAAGTCGCACTGCAACAGCTTGGAGATTAGTGTTAAGAGTAACAGGGCTGTGAATAACATTCTGTCGTATAAGGATAGTAGAACCTCCAGTGGCTCTATCACCTGGAGGAAAAATAATTATAGGCTTGAAACTGACGTAAGTTAAAGTTATCGGTCTGTTTCAGATACGTCTCTTGCAGACAGAACGCTGATGGTGTTAAATCCTGGATTAATAGCTGTATTTCATTAAAATTTGTCCGAGTCCTCTACAGTTCCACTGCACGATATTGGTAGATATACCTATTTTTTGCGGATTAATTGGGGATCTACCCCGCACCGTTTTCGAGGGCGACAAACTATGTGACCTAGAATGGACGTTTTCGGACACGTCCATGTCCTCAAGTGATCCGTATTTGTTGAATAACTTGATTTTATCATCTGACCCTTGGGGCTCTGCCACTTGTTTCTTTGAATCTTGCTTCAGTTTGCCTTTGTTTTAACGATTGGTTGAATGTTTGGCGTTGATTGAGACTTTTGAGTTGACTGAGACAAATATTGTTCTCCGGATACAGATGAAATCTGACTACAGGGCTCTGGTGGACCATTAGTGAGTGAGTGAGTGGTGATAGAAGAGGTCGAGGTCTGAGTAGACTGTTCAGGTGCAACAAACTGAGCATTAGTAGTTTTGACCCACGTCAAATCTGTTTGGCAATGGATCGACGAGGTGGTTACTTTTGACATAGTTTCAGAATGTGTTCTGACGACTGAAGCATATGATTCAGTCGGTGCTGCAGATTCCACAAGTTTTTTGGCATCAGCAAAGCTGATGTTCTGGGTGAATTTAATTTTATTGATTGCCATTTGTTTCTTCCAGATTGGACAGTCTTTGGAGAAAGAAGAATGATTTCCTGAACAATTTGTACACTTTTTAAGGTCACTGGTACAGTCTTCTGTGACATGAGTAGTCTCACTACAGTGGGCGCATGTTATGGGCTTTGTACAAGTATTAACCCCGTGCCCATATTTTTGACATCTAAAACATCTCAAAGGATTTGGAATGTAGATGTCAACTGAAATATTGCAGTAACCTGCTTTGACAGACTTCGGAGGATTTGGAGATGAGAATGAGAACAGATAAGTATTTGTTTGGATTGATTCGTTGTTTCTGCGGGTTGTGAATCTTTTAACATATGTCACACCCTGATCCTTCATCTCAGAAACAATATCTAGTTCTGACATATCAGCCAACAGTCGATCTCTGTCTCTGATTATGCCTTTACTAGTGTTCAGAGTTCTGTGGGCAGTGATAGAAACTGGAATTCCAACAAATAACTCTGTTGACATCAGGTTATTTGCTTGCTGTTTTCTACTGCATTCAACCAGCAGAGAGCCTGAACGCAAGCGTTTAATGTTTTTAACCTCACCTGCAATGCCATGTACACCCTTGGAAATTGCAAAAGGGTTCAGCTTGAGTGGAGCCTTGTCTACAGTCTCGATAACCAGAAATCGTGGCCAATAGTCGATTGAGTTGGAAGGACGTTCGTCATCATCATCATTGTCAAGTTGACGCTTGTTTCGTTTTAGGGGGGGGTTTTGTATTCCATAGTTAGTGTATAAGTTTCATCATCCGAGCTCCCCACCCACCACGGAGTATCACAAGGACAATGCTAAAAACAAGTGGATCTCCAACTTGCAGCACCAAGGATACTCGGATGATATACTCAAGCAGAAAAACTAAAAGATTAATTCTTCCACCAGATTGGCCCATGAGCCACCGCCTTCTGGGCATAAGACTCTAGGCAAATGAATAGGTCACATGTCAAAATCAAGTAATGTATAGACAAAAAGAGCCGAGACCTAAAGTCAATAAATACAGTCCAAAATAGAATTTGTGCAAATACAAAGAATGCACAGGGCTCGACATGACCGGCCGATTGGTAGAACCGGGCCCATTCTACCACCCGTCTAGGTGAAGTTAGGGCCGAAGTGGTGTGTTGGGCAAAGGAACACTGTTCCTGGAACCAGTGCCCTCAACCACCAGAATCCCTTCCTCCACCGACACAGGGGCGCAACCCACGGCCAACAGGTTGGTGGACCAAAATATCCCCCCCGGGTCCACAACGGGGGGTTGAAAGGCGCTTAGCGTGACCCAGCACCCACCACGAGGAGGTGGCCTTTCATGGGTGCCTCCATACCTTAGACATTGACGTACGTGAGTTAATTTTGGAGACATAGTTCCTCCAAGATTGCCGTTTATTTTGTTTGAAGGTGCGACGTGCCTTCGCATTGCGCATTTTAAATTGATTTAAGTTGTGGACAGTTGGGTGATGGCGGAAATATTTCTCTGCCTTTTTTCCTCGCTTTTCTAGCATTTTTACAGTCTGCATTAAACCATGGTTTTCGCACATGTGGAGTTGTAGAGGACTTTGGTATACACTCATCAGCTATTACATTTAAAACGTCAGAAAATACCTGAATAGGATCAGCAATATCACTGAAACATTCGGGTCTTAGTTTAGATGTGCATAAAGTTTGAAATAAAGGCCAGTCTGCCTTGGAAAAATTCCATCTTGTAATAGATGGAGAATCAGTTGGATAAGTTTCTGATAGTGTCGTGGGAAAGTGATCACTGCCACAGAGGTCGTTGTGTACTGACCAATCAAATTCATTTAGTAGATTTGAGTCTGAAAGAGACAAATCCAGAGAAGAGTAGGTGCCTGTTGCAGGATGCAGATACGTGCTTGAATCATCATTAAATATGCACATGTCATTATTTGAGATAAAATCTTCCAGGATTTTGCCTTTAGTGTTAGTATTTGTACCACCCCAGAGCGGATTATGGCCATTAAGATCACCCATGATAATGCAGGGTTTCGGAAGTTGATCATAGAGAGCTTGAAGATCAGTCAGGTGAAGTGTTGAAGAAGGCGGAATGTACAGTGAGCATAATGTAAAGACAACATGAAGTGTAAGTCTCACTGCAATGGCTTGAAGATTAGTTGTAAGTGGGACAGGGCTGTGAATAACATTCTGCTTAACAAGGATTGATGATCCACCAGTGGCTCTATCACCCGGAGGTGAGAAGGAATGATATGCAACGTACTGACGTAGATTAAACGTATCTGTCTGTTTCAGATATGT